TTCAGTCAAACATATGTTCAGTCCAAACATTTATTCAAACTCAGTCCAACTCACATTTCAACCCAAACCCTTTTTAATTCATTTCATTTTATTTATTAACTAAGCCCGATTAATAAATAATAAAACCCTAAACATAAAATAAGTTCGGAACACTGAAACGACGCCTAGATTATCCCGTACTTAATGCAAAATAAAAGATAAAATTGAACCTAGACGAAATTCCAGAAAACACAAATGCCGCGAAACGGCAAATTCTGCCGCGTCACAGCAATTCTGCTGTGACACGGCAATTTTCTTGGGTTTTGTTTCACGGCGCCTTCAATTCTATGGTTCCGTACTTCACCCCTCACATTTTCTCTATAAATACGAGGTTGAATTCTCAGTTTTAGGGCACCAAATAATTCCCTCTTTCTCTTTTATACACCAAAAAAATCATTCTATCTTTCTCTCTTATGCTGTAGCCTAAACACTAGCCTTCCCTATTCTTTCACAATACATCCCTTAAGCACTCCCCGGAGTCAATACTTTATCCGAAGTTCTAAACTTAAACCAAGGCGTGAAAGGTAGAATTATTTGAGGGTTTGGCCCCAAATCAACTTTACTTTCATTTGAATTAATTTCTATTTTATTATTTTCCTTGAAATTACTGACGCTTTATTGTTTTATAGTTGCAAGAAACGTAATCAAAGTAAGGAATCATGTTGCTTTTGTTCCTATTATATTTCTAACGATTTTTGTTATGTTTTTCATATACTAATTGTTATTTTTACGGTTAAATTGCTTCCGATGTTGATGTTTATTCTATTATTATTTTTTATCACCATATTGCATGTTAAAGAGAATATGTAATTGAATATAACGCCTAATAAGATAATTTGGACGATCGATTTAGGTTCCTTTTTAATCTTATTGTTTAATCAAGTGATCACGATATTTAGAATTATATTTGTGCATTAATATTCAACAAATTTAGCCTAATTTAGTTTGGAGAAAATTGAATCTTTGTTTGTGTGCCTTTGAGATCGCAGGAAATGCTTTTCAGAATAAGAATCGAGTAGAGGCCAATACGGGCGAATGTGACTCCATGACTCACTTCGTACCATCATCCCCGATCCTCCTTTCGTGGTTCCGAACCATATGGAGTTAGTAATCTCATGGATTATGAATGGGGTGTAACCTTCACGGGTCAATCGTTGTTGCCTTTCGTTGTCCCTTATCGTGGTTGCCTTATAATGATCAGTGAATGGTTTACAAGTTCCTTAAAAACTTGTTGGCGGCTCCCTACTTTGCTTTGTCCCTAATCGTGTCCCTTATCGTATGTCAATTCCCACTTCCTATGAGTGCCAAGCATATTCACAACATGCTTAAGTAGGCGTGCTTCAAATGACGCCTATAATGAGAGAGATAGAGAGAATAAAAAATGGACCAATGTGATTGGAGAGAGATAAAGATATTTTATTAAGTAAAAAGGAAAGTGATGCAACTAATTTTAAACTCTCGTTTTACTAAGAAAGTGATCGATGCCAAAAAAAATAAAATAAAATAAAAAATAAAAAATATCGTAGGAAGTATAATAAAACAAAGTGAATAGAAAAAGGTGGGGGGGGGGGACTAAAATGAAAGTGTGTAAAAAGAGGAAGTAAGACCCTCTTCACTTCACCATATTTTTGCTGAATTGAAATTATTTTTACTGAACTGAAATTATTTTTGCTGAACATAAATTATTTTTATTGACTTGATGTAGTCACCTAATTGTGTATCCCCAAACCCAAACTCGGTGATGAATGACCTTTTTACCGCCAATTGGTCTGGTTGCGATCGGAATTAAGAATTGCTTGAAGCCCTAACCCATTTTGTTTCAATCCACCTAATCCAATCCAATCCATTCCTACCCCAAACATCCATCAAACCCTTTTCCTAGCCCAAGTTCACAAACCATAACACAATTTTCTCTTTTCGTGACCACAGCCCATAGCCAAGCATAGCTTTGATTTAAATATTATTTGGTTGAATAGGCCTTGAAATAATTTTTGCAACGATATATCATAAGCCAAACTCCAATTTTAAACGAAAACGATAAGAGGAAAATACTAAAACTCGGCACAAAACAACGTGGCACAGTACAGTGCGTCGTGGCACAATACAAAGCACTGTGTCACGGTACTCAAATTCTAGGGTTTCAGATAGAGAACGAGCAGAACACATCAATATATACGAGGCTAAACACAATAATTCAACTCTTTTCTCATCATTATACTTTTTCTAATCAGCGTTTTCAAGCAATTCGAAGTTCCTTTGCAATACTTGGAGTTCTACTCATCAACTTAGGCGTAAAAGGTTGAATTTTTGAAAGTTTGGACAAATCTAAACTTTATTTTATTTTGATTGAATTTAATTTTTTGTTATTATTGAAGTTACTAATATACAATTTATACTTGATGTAACAATTTAAAGGAGCACGTGCAATGTGAGTAATTAATTAATTTAATTACTTATTATTTTATTTTTATTTTTCTATTACCATGATGGGATTGATTTGTTTGCTTTGACTATTAATATTGTGACGTTGCTTCCAATATTTATGTTGTATTATTTTATTTTTTTTGTTCACCCTTTTGCATATTTAACTAGGAATATGTAATTGAAAATCACGCGTAATAAGATAATTTGGACAACCGGATTAGGTTCCCTTTTAATCTTGAGAACTTTAATAAGTGATCTCGATACTTAGAATTTTATGTGCACTAAATATTCAACCAACTTAATAATACTAGTTTGGAACAAATTGAATTTTTGTTCGTATGTCTTTCGAATCGCAAATAGTACTTTCACAATAAGAATCGAGTAGAAAGCCAATACGGGCGAAATTGACTTCCATGACTCAACTTCGTACCATCATCCCCGATCCCTCATTCGTGGTTCGTAATCATATGGAGTTAGTAATCTCATGGATTATGAACGGATGTAACCTTAATGGATCAAATAACCGTTGTTGTTTGTCCATTTCATGGTGCCCTTTAATGATCCATGAACGATTTACAGCTTCCTTAAAAACTTGTTGGCGGCTCCCTATTTTTTGTCCTTAATCACATAATGTCAAATCCCACTTCCTATGATTTCTTGTATATTTATAACATGTTTAAGTAGGCGTGCTTCAATTGACGCCTACAACTGAAATTAGTTTTATTGAACTAAAATTATTTTTACTGATTTACTAATCTAAAATTATTTTTACTGATTTAGTAAACTAAAATTATTTTTACTGATTCTCTATTATATTTCTTTTTGAAGTTACTGATGGTTTTTACTGAATTGAACTTATTTTTACCGAATTGAAATTATTTTTACTGAATTGAACTTGTTTTTACTAAACTAAAATTATATTTGCTGAACTAAACATATTTTTACTGAATTGATATTATTTTTATTGAATAGAACTTATTTTTACTGATATGAAATTATTTTCATTGAAGTGAAATTATTTTTGCTGAACTGAACTTATTTTTACTGAATTGATTTTATTTTTTACTAAATAGAACTTATTTTTACTGATATGAAATTATTTTTATTGAACTCAAATTAATTTTACAGAACTAAAATTATTTTTACTGAATATTATTTTTGTAAGGTGAAGTGAACAGTACATGGCTTAATTGTTGTTTAGTTTAACCTAATCAAAATGCTATTTGTAAAAACGTGTAATTCCTCAATTTAAACTTAATTTAGAAACATAATTTTAGCTATATCTAGTAAAGATAATAATCTAAATACTTCAACATTATATTTACTGAATAGAAATTATTTTACTGAACTGAAATTATTTTTGCTGAACTGCAATTATTTTTACTGATTCTCTATTATATTCCTTTTTTAAAGTTACTGTTTTTACTAAACCGAAATTATTTTTACTAAACTTAAATTATTTTTACTAAACTGAAGTTATTTTTACTGAAATAAAATTATTTTACTGAGTTGAAATTATTTTTGCTGAATATTATTTTTGTATAGTGAAGTGAATAGGGCCTAAACTTCACTTATTTTCACTAAACTAAGATTATGTTTCTTGAATATTATCTAAATAAGGTGAAGAAAAAAATGGCCTCAATCAATACTCCCTCCGTATTTTATTTATTGCTTAATTTCTCCGGACACGGAGTTTTAAGAGGAATAGTAAAGATTATAATTTTATGATGAAACTGGAGTTGATTGAAGATTAAAAAATCTGAAAAAGCGAAAATGAGTATAAGTGGGGGGGGGGAGAGAGAATGTGAAAAATATGAAAATATGATATTAGAGAATCACTAGTGGGGAGAAAAATAGTAAAATATTATTAAAAGTTTCAAAAAAAGAAATGGAGCAAGTAATAATATACGGCGGCAAAAGGAAAGTATAGCAAGTAATAAAATATGGTGGGAGCTAGTAAAATTCAATATTTTTAAAGAACAAATATAACATTTAGCTGTATAATTAAGTTTAATCATACAGTAAATTAGTTCATTCAACATATAAAATTCAAGCTTAATTCAATATTTTAAGTTCAATAAAAGTAATTTAATTTTAGTGAAAATAATATAGGTTGATTAGAAATAATTTAAGCTTACCAAAAATGATTTAAGTTCACCAAAAAGTAATGACCAACCCTAAAATACTGCTTATGTTTTGTTCATTGTATGTCATTATACCATTATCTCTAAGTATAATTAAGGAAAACTTTTACAAAAATCATAGAGTTAAAAAAGTGTGTGAATAGTGTAAAGTTTAAATGTTTTAATAATATAATTAAAATTAAAATAAGATAGGAATTTGATAAATGCAAAGTGTGATTAACAAATATTAGGCCCTTTTCACTCCACCATAAAAAATAATATTAAGTAAAAATAATTTTAGTTCAGTAAAAAAAAAGTTTAGCTCAATAAAAATAAGTAACTTTAAAGAAGAAATATAATAGAGAATCAGTAAAAATAATTTCAATTCGGCAAAAATAATTCAGCTTAATATAATTAATTTCAATTCAGTAAAAATAATTTAAGTTTAGTAAAAATAATTTTAGCTTAATAAAATTAACAGGAAATGAACAATGGAAAAAATATGTTTAGATTACCACCACTAACAAAAATATGATGAGAACAAAAAAAAAAGACAAAAAAGGTTTAAAAAAAAGGATAATTATTGAAGAAACCCGTTAATCGAGTGCATATCAACGCATAGCACCTATTGACAAACGAAGTGTATAGGAGGGCAGAAGCGTAATTTATCAGGCATTAGAAAACTTAAATATTCCACTTAACTGTACTAGTGGTACATTTAATACTCCGAAAATGTACCACTGAAATCACATTGGTACATTTAATCAAAGTGGTACGTACGTTTTGTACTTTAAATTGTACTACTAGAAAACAAGTGTCATGCTATACACTTTCTAAACACAATGCGCCAATACTTTTCCCGTTTAATCCACCATAATATCAACAAATTCGAGGGAGAGGACCAAAGTCACCAAACAGTCAAAGTTCACTATCCTCCATAATTCTAAATTCTTTTTTCTTTTTCTCTCTTTTTTCGCAGTGATTCTTCTTTCACTATGTAAAAAAAGGTTCAAATTATAAATCATTATAAATTCTAGACATTATCACATCACACTCCCTAAGTGTAGCCTCACTGCCTCACTCACTCATTCACTCCTCACTAGAGGATAACAAAAACAAAATAATGTACCTTCTTCAACTATAGTAGCCTTAATCCACCATTACATTTTCACATTGAACCCGATTACCCGGCCCGTTCATTTCTACTAGAAATATGGTTCAAAGAAGGTACATTGTTCAAATATTGGCTCTATGTTCAGTTTTTACACTTGGTTCGGGCCTTTACAACTTCACTATCCCGGGCCAGCACCCGGACCCGGAAGCCGTCGCCCGAGAAGTTCATAGGTAAGAGTATCATTTTTTCATTCTTCAACATTATTTTAGTACTTTACGTTGCATAACATCTTTTGTTATGAATAAATCGACTTATTATTGGCTACATTGTTGAATTCTAAGAAATATTCACCACATACATATGCAAACGTAGTTTTAGCGACATATAAGGGGCATTTTCTTATCATTTTTATAAAATCTTGTTTCCTAATCTTTTTTAATCAAGTTGTTGTGTGTTCATTCTACATACCTTTTCTAAATGCTGATTGTCATCCCATTTTTAAGATATTTTGGTTATTTCTTTGTTCATTTGTTTTTAAAAGATAGTCTTGGTTGTATGTTTAGTGTCTTTACAAAAGGATACCTTGATTAGTAGTGTTCTACTTTATTCCTTAGTTTACAAACAAGTATATGTTTTTCATTTTATATTTAAAACAAAAATGTACTCTGTAAATAATAATGTACTACTACCTCGGTTTTATGTTATTTACAACGATTTAACATTAAGTGTCAATAAAAAATGTCTAATCATTACAAATAATATGAAACGAAAGTGTATATATATATAAAACCAATGTAATATCAAAACTATAATCCTCAACTTCCATCCATAAAAATATAACTTTGGTTTGTACAAATTTAAAAGTAGTGTCTACTGTCTAGTGTGTAATGTAAATTGAAAAGTTACTGAAATTGTGAGGATAGATAGAGAGATAAAGTTTCTTTAAAAAAAGATAATTGAAACTTTTTAGAATATACATTTGGGTATAGATTTGATACAAAGATATTAAAAAAAATGCCCAGCCTTACAAAGAAAAGTAGTGCCAATTTATAAAGAGATTAGTAATCTAATAATGTACAAATCTAAAGTTTATATGAGACATTAAATTTCATACATGTTTATTATTGGCTCACCAAAATCTAAAAGTAATTTTACTCAGTAGAACATTGGTACAAAAACATTAAGACTCTTTTCACTTCACCCTAAAAAAAAAAAAATGTTTAGTAAAAATAATTTTAGTTTAATAAAAATAAGTTAAGTTAAGTTCAGTAATGATAATTTTAGTTCAATTAAAATAAGTAACTTTTAAAAAGAATCACTAAAAATAATTTCAAATAATTTCAATTCAGTAAAATAATTTTAGTTCATCAGAAATAATTTCAGTTCAGTAAAAATAATTTAAGTTCAGGAAATATTAATTCAGTTTAGCAAAAATAAGGTGAAATCAACCAGACGTAAATGTAGAAAAATAAGAAAATTCAAGGAAAAAAAACAAAAAAAAAAAAAAAAAAAAAAAAAAAAACTTCATATCAACCAAAATAAGTTGAGTACATGACAAAAAAAAAGTTAATACCAACAAGGCTTAATATTACTCGTATACTTAAGTTAAACAAAAATAAGTGGAGGAAAACATAATGTTAATCAATTTGCAAACAAATTCTAGATATATAATTTTCTGCTTTTTATTTGAGCTACTTAGTATTTATTTAATATTTCGTATGTAGTATGTTACTTTAACTTTTAGCTTTGGGTTATGTTTAGGATAATAGAATAGTGTTAATTAATATCTTTATTGGATTATGGATTTATGAATCAAACATTTTATTTTATTATATAAAAATGATGAGAAAAAAGAGAGAAAAAAAAACGTATAAGTAGTGTATACTGTATAGTGTGTTTGAGGTTGGAATGTGAGCTTAGCTACCCTACATGGGGCAATGGGCAACTCCATGTTTCTTTGAGCAGTGTAATATCATGAAATGTCTAAGCTAATTTCATCAGCAGAGTCGAGGACTAGCTATAGCCTTAGTATTCTACATTTTCACTGTCTTTTATGCGACAACATTCCCACCCTGTTCTTTCTTCTTCTATCCAGGTGTACGAGTACGGAGTAGTTTATTACCCTTTCCTGCACTTTTAAGGAATCTTTCCCACTATCACGGGCTAGATTGAATTGTGAGAGGTAGTTTAATAGGGCTGAGCTTTCTTCTCACCTAGAAGAAGAAAGAAAAAAAAAAATTAAGATCAGCGTGTTACGTGTGTGTTGTGGCCGCTTGTAAAAGAGCAAAATAACTCTTATAAACTGGCTAAAAAATCCTTATAATACTGATTGATTAACCCCTATAACACTGAATGAATAACCGCTATAGCACTGATAAAGTAACTTTTGTAACACTGATCCGGCCACATAAGAATTTGTGATTCATTTAAGGTATTGAATATCATCTTTTAAAACTTGTGTTAATTAAAACTGCTAGTCTCTTTAATAAACTATAGAATATTGCACATTTCTAAAGGAGAAAACATGGATTTTTGTCTTTAATGATTTATTTATTTATTTTTATTTATTTCTTATGTTACTAATGAGAAAAGCCACGTTCCTTGAAATAAAAGTTACTAATGGGGAATAATTATGCTAAGTGATTATATCTTAATACATACATTTCTATATAATAATCGAGGGTGGGACAGGATGTTTGCCTAATACGTATATTAAAGTCAAAACATGGGAAGAAAAACTGGATGCACTTGGAATCTGTAAATGCCTCTTTTTCTTTTGATTTTGGCTTTTCTTTAGCTTCGTATTTCACTTTGTGCAAACTTATTTTAATAGTTTAACTACAACTTGTTACGTAGTTTATAACAACATTAGTACTCTTGGAGAACCAAAAGAGTCGGGAAGAGAAGCTAATTTTGGCCCACGTTCCAATAATTGTTAAGGCCAACTTATAAATTTATAATCTCTAAGTCCCAATATAGTGCCCCTTATAGGGACACATAGATGAAATTATAGTGTGAACATGCATGGATTGTTATTGGGATAAAAATCATAAAATGCATATGTGATGGGATAAAGTTAAAGGTGACCATTCAGATAACTTGGTCAGGTTTGGTTAAATTAAGTTGGAGCGGATTTAGTTCAAATTTGAGTCATGTTAAATTATTTTGTCCATACAAAACGAAATTTGAATTAGGTTATTTTTAGGTCGGTTCAATTTTGACATCTCTAAATAAAGTGTATGAGATCCTAGCTTAGCAAAGTAAAAGTTACCTGAAAGCTGGTCAGAAGTTAAGCTAAAACTAAATGTAATAACAAAAATTTTGTACACCTAGTGTACTCATCAAAGACTTTTGCCTAAATGAGTCATTACATTTATTCAAGCAAAATGGACATTAGTAATATGAACATAGAAAGTTGCCAACGATATTATGGCTGTATATGTACACATTTGCAATAAGAATATATATTAAGTTGAATATTAATGACAATTTCTCAGTTTATCAGTATTAACATTGTTTAATTAGTTAAACTGTCTCACGAAAATAAACATTTCTGTTATCCTATACAGGCTGGTGAATGTTTCAGTAACTAGAAGACATTTACTTGAAGATGCTTCAAACTGCGCCACCGGCAATCCAATCGATGATTGCTGGCGATGTGACCCGAATTGGGGAAACGACCGTCAAAGGTTGGCCGATTGTGGCATCGGGTTTGGGCAATATGCGTTAGGTGGCAAAGGTGGTGAGTATTACATAGTCACTGACCCTTCTGACGATGACGTTGTTAATCCAAAGCCTGGTACACTACGTTATGCTGTTATACGAACTGAACCTCTTTGGATCATCTTCGCTTCTAATATGGTTATCCACCTTTCTCAGGTTTGTAATTCTTGTATGCTCTCCTAATATTAAATTTTTTTAATTGCATTCATGCATATATAGCATATGTAATAAGAGTAATCCAATTTATGATTTCATTAGAATTTCATATAATAGTTTGTATCAATCATTTTAATCCAACATTCTCACCATTTCTCAATTTTGATTAGAGTTTTACTTAGAAAATCTTTTTTTCTTTTTTAAAAAAAACAATTACTTAGAAAATCTTATATAATCAAAATGTGACAATTGCCTAATATAATACGGAGTACATGACAAAATATTTTGGCTATGTTAGGCAACAATATTTGAAATGAGCTGAAACTGATAAATTAATTAAAATTAATAAGTTGGCTGGACCTGATAAGATGTCGAAATTAACGAGGTAAAGCTTTAAGCCAAATTGAGGCTTTATTCTAATAAAGCAAGACATACATGCTTAGCAAAATTCTTTACCAATTTCAACTATCTAAATTTCATTGTAAGCATAATTTTAGTTCCAAGATTTAATTTCTGCTAGTTATTATATTCTGTTGTAGGAGCTAATCTTCAATAGTTACAAGACAGTAGATGGGAGAGGGGTGGATGTACACATAACAGGAGGAGGATGCATAACCTTGCAATATATTAGCAATGTAATTATCACCAACATCCACGTCCACCACTGCCACCAATCCGGTAACACCATGGTCCGAGACAGCCCAACCCATTATGGTTATCGAAGTTTGTCCGATGGAGATGGGATCTCTATATTTGGATCTAAGGATCTTTGGATCGACCACTGCTCGCTGTCTCATTGTAAGGATGGGCTCATCGACATTGTAATGGGCTCAACCGCTATCACGGTGTCCAACAACCATTTCTCTCACCATAATGAGGTTATGCTTCTAGGGCATAGTGACACGTACGAGCCTGATACAGGAATGCAGGTACGTAATATTTTATAACACCAAGAAAAAAAAAAGACATTATCATGTGAGATCAATGTGACTACTAATTACGAGATTTATAAATGTTACACAGGTTACAATCGCGTTCAACCATTTTGGACCGAAATTAGTACAGAGGATGCCAAGGTGTAGAAAAGGGTATATACATGTTGTGAATAATGATTTTACACAATGGGAGATGTACGCAATTGGTGGTAGTGGAAATCCAACCATTAATAGCCAAGGAAATCGTTTTATTGCTCCTTTTGATCGTTATGCCAAAGAGGTAATATTTGCTCTAAGCTAAGCCTCTAACTAATGTCTTCATTTTCTTGCTAATTTCTGATTTGATTTGATATTACACTGTATTAGATTCCATGTTATTTAACTTGTGAAATCGGAGGTGACAACCAGAGTCCTAGACCACGTATCTTATTTGATTTATCATATTTCTCCGTTGTTTGTGGCTTGAATTATATACAGGTACCAAAGTAAAAGGTTCTCTAGCCAAATACTGTAATAATTATTCATTAGTCCAAGTAAAAGTGTAATCTAAACTATGTGTATGACAAGTCTGAAGGCGAGGTGAATTTGTTTAATTCAAAGCAAAAACCGTGGGAAAAAACTCAAAAAGCACTTAATGTCTTTTGGTACAAATTCCACTAATTACTCGCTCCATTTTCTTGAGTCCTACTTAATTACTGTTTATATGTAAATTAAGAAAAGTGTAAATAGAGACTTTATATAAACACTTTTGTATTAATAGGAGAGAAATAGAGAATAAAATATTTTTAAATAAAACTAACTACACCCCACAAAGTTATTAAAAGTTTATTATAAAAAGAATAGTGTAAAAGTGATTAAAATTTTAAAAAACGGATAAATAAAAAGTAAATACCGCAGGTTTTAAGAAAAATGGAGGAGGTATTAAATTTTAATTTATGAAGTTCGCCAATAGGCAGAATGATAACTAACTTTGATATGGGCCCCATGATATGATTAAAAGCAGTGGCGGACTTGGGCTTAGACCTGGTGGGTCAAGTGACTCACCAGGCCCAAAAAAAAATTTAAGTTATTTTAAAAAAAAAAAAAAAAATTAAAATCAGTTTTCCCCAAAAAAACCAAACACGAATTCAGTTCAAGACTTCAAGCCCTAGCCTTCTTCAGTTCTTCTCTTCTCTTCGCCATTGCCAATTCGCCTCTTCCCTTCAATCCTTCATCAATCATCTGCAACTCCAGTTCTTCACTTCTTCATCAAAGAGTAAGTTTGTAATTTTTATTGTTAATTTCTAATCTTCAATTTAATTCATTCTAATTAGTTAATTTTATTAAACTACAATCGCAATCTTCAATTTAATTCAGCCAATTCGCTATTTCGCTGTGCGGGCTGTGCTGCTGGCTGCTCCGCTGCTCGCCGACGCCTAGTCGCCTCAATCAGCGCCTGCCGCCTCCGGCTCTGTCTCTGAAACAATTTAATTAACTTACCCCCCTCTGCTAAAATGCGCCCTTGATCCCAATTTTCTTTTCTTTGAAAGTTGAGATCTTTCAATTGAAGAAGAAGGAGAAGAACAAGAACAAGAAGAACCCCAGTAAAGCAATGGTTGCAGAGCCTTGGTTACTGAGAATGGGGAATCAGGTAAGTAGCAATCTGAAAAACTCCCTTCTTTTACACCCAACAAGCACAAGTAATAGTAGTAGTAGAAAGAAGAAAAGTAGCAGTAGTAGTAGTTGCTCTAATATTGGTATCTTGTCATTTGAGGTTGCTAATGTTATGTCAAAATTGGTCCATCTTCATAACTCAGTCTCTGATGAAGAGATCTCGAAACTGAAGCATGAATTGATTAAATCAGAGGGTGTTAAGAAATTGGTTTCTTGTGATGATTCTTACCTTTCAGAGCTTGCTTATTCTGAGAGGGTAGATGATTTGAATAGGGTTGCTGAGGTTGTCTCTAGGTTGGGGAAAAGATGTACTGAGCCAGCCATGCTTGGTTTTGAGCATGTTTATGGGGATATTATTAGTGGTAGGATTAATGTCAAAGATTTGGGGTTTTTGGTTAAGGATATGGATAGTATGATTAGGAAGATGGAGAGGTATGTGGGTGCTAATGCTAATTTGTATGGTGAATTGGAGGTTTTGAATGAATTGGAGCTTGCTACCAACAAGTTCCATTTGAATCATAATCTTGATAGTTGTAAGGCTTTTGACCAGAAATTGTCTTGGCAAAGGCAGGATGTTAAGCTGTATTTTGTACTGTTTGAATAATTAGATGTATTTTTTAGTACTATTATTTGGTTGTTCGGTAATTTTTTTTTTTTACATACTTGATTATCGATTGTAACCCACCAGTCGGAAATTCCTGGGTCCGCCACTGATTAAAAGTCATCTGTTTTTGACTTTGTATGAAATGGAAGGTCCCGTATCTGATAGTAGGACCTAAATTATCATTGGATACCATTTTTTCCAATAACACTGAACTCTGTTGTCCTGCCTCCTACGTATGAGTAAAGTGGAGTGTGAACATGCATTAGCATTTCCACTGATCCAAAATTATCAATTACTCGGCTAGCTAGTGAGCTATTTGCATGCATGTTTAACTTTTTAATTAAATGTTTTATTTACATGCTGATCATAATATAAATCTTCCTTTCTTTATTGATGATTACAATATAAGTGGAACATGTTAGTTTTGTTTAGCCTGTGTCATGACAAGACCAGTAATAAGGTGAAACTATTATAAAGTGTATAAAGTAATGTTAGCAGTTATTTTGAAATTTTTTGTAATCTAAAATGTTGCATATTATTGTATAAATATGAATATATAATACGTTATTGATAATGTATTTTTTTAGATACTCAGTTGATACATTGAGTTTTGCCTTGTAACTAATTAGATTAACCTTAATGTAAAATTGTAAAAAGTAGAGTAGCCTTATACAATAGTGCGGAGTAAGAATGTTAGTTTTAACTAGGACGGAGTAGAGCCTTCTAAGCCATTTTTCCAAAATCAATTAAAAAACGGTTATTTTACCAAATACCCCTGAGTAATTTGATAATTCACAATAAACCCATGAAACTTTCCAAATACACCATATGCCCCTGAGTTTAACAACAATGTCATCAAATACCCTTAATGACTAACGGCGGCTAACTCCATTAGTCATTAAAGCTAATTATGCCACGTAGAGCCTTCTGATTGGTTTTCCTTTCAAATTATTAATTTTTAAAATGATTATTTGTTTTATTATTCAAAAATATAAAAAAATATAAAAAAAAAATAATAAATTAAAAAAATCCCAACCACCGTACTACCACCTTGCCCCCACCACCATCACCCCCTGCCGGCGCATTCTGCCCCTGAACCCCGTGCCGGTGGCGCCACCCCGAACCCTCGGTTTTCGTTGCTGCCTCTCTCCTCCCCTTCCCCTTAACCGTCATTCCTCTTTACCCAATAACCACCTCCCCCCTCCGAAAAACCATTTATCACAACTCGTCGGCGCTCACACTCCCTCCCCTGCGCCGGCGAACTTAATTCGCCCCTCCCCCAACAATCCCCTCCCCCTTTCTCCTTGAACCAGTACGCTGAAGTCTTAAAATCAAAATCGAAATCTAAAAACCAAAATCTAGGGTTTCGATTTTGGTACTTAGGATTTCGGGCTGGTGATTTTTGGCTGATGTGGGCGGCGGCGACGTGAGAGAAAGGGGTCTAGGCCGTCGGCGAGGGGTTTTGGGGTGGTGGGTTCAGCTAAGGTGGAAGGGCTATTGGGGGAGAGGATGTTAAGGGTTGATGGCGGTTCAAGGGAGGGGGCAGGCACTGACACGGTGGGGTAAGGACCGGCGCCGGCGCGGTAAGGAGGAGGGTTTGGGCGCCGGTGACGGGAGGCTCAACCAGGTGGCGGTTGTGGGGCCCAGGCCGGAGGTGGCTGGGCTAAGGGGTGGTGGTTTTGTTTTTTTAATTTTTAAAAGTTTTATTTAATTAATTTAAGTAAATAAGTAATTAAACGATTTAAAAGAAAACCAATTAGAAATTGCCTCGTGGCACAATTAAGCCTTAATGAGTAACGGAGTTGACATCCGTTAGTCATTTGGGCATTTCGTGACATTGTTATTAAATTCGGGAGTATATGATGTATTTGAAAAGTTTTATGGGTATATTGTGAATTATCGAATTACCGATTAAAAAATCAAAAGCTATCTTAATTCCTCAAAAAAAAAAAAAAAGGCAATAACTGCCTTAATTCAATAATCACATCAATTAAACATTTAAAAAATAATATATCTTCATTATAGTGATATATTAAAGTCAATTGTCCATCATAGCAATACAAGAAACACACTTTGTAGCAAATTATATATCATTCTGCACAATACAATATCATGTGCGTTTACACCAGTACATTCTAATATGATAGTATATTGAACACGAGTACATTAAGTGGGGATAAATTGGGAATTAATGGATGCAGGTAACAAAGAGAGTAGGAACAGACGAGAAAGATTGGAAGGGGTGGAATTGGAGATCAGAAGGAGACGAAATGGTGAACGGCGCATATTTTGTGGCGTCAGGAGCGGCTGTTGAAGTCCAATATGAGAAAGCTTACAGTGTGGAGCCCAAATCTTCTGCCTTCATTGACCAACTTGTCATGCATGCTGGCGTTCTTGGCGACAGGTTTTTCATCTTTCCCTTTCTTTTTCTTTTTTTATTAATCATCTATTCATCTTCACATTATTATTATTTTCGTAATTAAAATTGACTTTTACTAATTAAACTTAATTTTATATGGTAATTGTGTGTGATACTTACTAGGAGGCTATGATAATCAAATACATAGAGTGATATAATACGGACTACTGAATAATAGATGAGTTAAACTTTAAGGAATTTATACTGGATCGAAAATATGTTTAAAAACTGAAAATTGAATTGTAGCCAACATAAATGAGATAGATATGTTATATCGTTATAACTTTATAATTTATTGACTTACAATTTTGCTAAAGATACCATATGTTTTAGAATGTATTTTCCTTATATTGTTTTGAAGTTCTTTACGTTTGTATGTTGTGTCGTTTTGTGTTATCTCATATCATGTACTACGTAATGAATATGTTGCGTTTAAACAATGCAGTAGACACAGCTTAGGCAAGTGGAGTGCTGGACCAGGTGACAAAACAGGATTAGACTCAGATGATTATGATTACAGCGATGATTATGATGGAGCCACACCAACAAATTCATCCCCAACTTACACTCTTCTATTTCTTTTGTTGATGTTATCATTTTGTTATTTGTATGTCATCCCTAACGTCAATTTTCTATGACAAACATCTTGAAATCGAATTAATTCTTGTCTGTTACTTCTAACTTTGACATTAATGAGTAAAACTCTTTATGTCTCACTAGGGCTCTTTGGCATTACAAGCTTTCTTTTATAACTTTGCCTTTTATCAACTACAAGTGTTTATATTTATTGTGCCTTAGAATGTCACCATACCTTGGAATTAATCAATTTCCCCTTTATCCCAATACAAATACTACCTCTGTTAACTATTATGTGCAACAAATGAGTCGCACCCGGACTCTTAGGTAAAAGTTTTAAGGAGGGTTAATCAAAAAATTTGAGATGCAATTAAGTAAAAAGAGGAGGGAAAGGGTAGGGATCCACGTGGGGTTTTAAAATGTGGATTGCTAAACATCGCCTACAAATTACCAACTAAAGCCCACAAATTTCCATTGAATTGACAATATTGTCCTTAACCCAAAAAAAAGAAACTCTCTCTCATCACCCAAAAAAAAAATCAGTGCCACTTTCATTCTACGTTTTTAAAAAAAAAAAAAATTCAAAGTCTGGCAATGTCGAGGCGGCAAGGCAAGGAATTAGCGGCGGCGGCGGAGGAGGGAAGGAGGTTTCACGGTGGAAAGGTAGGTTTTTTTCCGTTTAAAAAAAAAAAAAAAAACCGACTAGGGCGGGGCGCCTGGGGAGGACGCCACGACGGTGCGCCAGAATCAGACGCCGGAACCACGGCCATGGCGTCTGGATCTGGCGCCGCCACCCATGGTGTGGCGTCCCAGCCATGCGCACCTTTTTTTTTTTTTGAAAATCAGAATATTTTTTTTGAAAATCAGAATTTTTTTTTTGTTTTTTGTTTTTTGTTTTTTTAAGTAATTTTTTTTGGTTTTTTGTTTTTTTATGGTGTTTTTTTTAAATCGGTTTTTTTTTTATTTTGTTTTCTTTTTTGAAAATCATAATTTTATTGTATTTTTGTTTTTTGTTTTTTTCAGTAATTTCTTTTTTAAATTAAAATTTTGTTTGTGATTTATGTTTTTTTCAATTTTGTTGTATTTTTTTTACGTTTATACTTCCTTTACATTTCTTTGTATGTTTGTTTTGTACAATTTTTTTTATATTTGTTATTGCAATTTGTTAGTATGTTTTTCTGTTTAGTTGATATATTTTCGTTTAGGTTATTTTTTTTTCTTCTATGTTTATATAAATTTTGTATGTGTTGGTTTTTTTTTTCTTTGTATGTGTATATTTTATTCTGTAATTTATTTTTTGTGTTCTGTTAATTTCTTTTTCAAGTTAGTTTGCTAGTATTTTTTTAGTTCATTTGATTTGGTTTTTGGTAGTTATTTTTCTTATAATTTTTTTAATGTGTATACATTTTTTAATTTTTTGAAGGTGTCGCATTTTCGCCATGGTACGGGGAATAATCTAGACCTTATTAGGTCTGGAAACTACTCAATGGAGAGCTCGGGGCCCAGACATCTTAAATCCCGTGGTATTTCGGCCTCGGCTCGTAGAGAACGGGTTCACCATCGGGATGAGGATGAAGATGATGATGACGATGATGATGATGAGGAGGAGGAGGACGCATATGAGGATGTGGACGATGGGAGTGGACCATATGATGATTACGGTCCATTCAGTCAGAGGCTAGATGACATGTACGAGACGCATAGGGTAGATGTGCGTAAGGGTAGGGATGGTAGGTTTGTGAGTAGATCTGGCATATCATCTGCGTCCACCGTGTCTGGGGCAAGCAGAAAACAGTCGAGGGCCGTTAATGATTCTTGGATGGTTAAGGGTGCGGTGCCTTGGGGGCCTGTAGACGGGAGTGAGATTCCAAGCTTTCTAAGACACACAGCTACCCGTATCTGGGAGGACCAGGAGAGGGGTTTGGTGACGGGCATTTTGAAATGCCAAACCCGGGAAAAGACTTGTAGCGTTTTGAGCAGATGGGCTGAGGCTTGGCCGGTGGAGAGCGAGATGTTCGACCGACTGCAGGGCACTGGGGTGAATCACCTTCCTGCCACCATGCACGATAAGATTGATTGGACGCTGATCACGGCTTTCGTTGAGCGATGGCAGCTGGATACGAACTCTTTCCACCTTCCATTCGGTGAGATGACGATCATGTTGCATGACATCGAGGCCATTCTTGGGATTCGCGCAGAAGGTAAACGCCTTTCTGTTGTGACTAATGCGGATCAGGCAGATTTGCTGGCGGAGCTGTTGGCGGTGGACAGGGTTGCGCTGTACACCGGGGCGCTTGGTGTTTGGGACCACGGCGGTGTGAAGATCGCGTCCGTCTTGCAGCGTTGTTTGCACCCCGGTGCACGTAGGACGCACGATGCACAGCTGGCTGCTTATGTTTTTCTTCTCCTCGGGTGTACCTTGTTTTCGGATAAGAGCGGAAACAAGCTCAGGCCACGCGACATAGTTGATGCGTGTGAGCCGGACAGTGTTGGTCAGTTTTCTTGGGGGTCGGCTACGTTGGCGTATCTGTAGTCGGGCTGATGCGGCAGGTATCACTGGATGACTGACTTTATTGCTGACCTGGATATACGAGTATTTTCCTGCATTTCGACCACACCGTGACCCGATTCCTATTGGTGATGGGATGCCCCGTGCCTGTGCGTGGAGTCCGCGTTTGGAGAAGAAGTCTGTTGACCGCCTCCGATCGATACGGTTATCGCTTGACAGGATGTCCCCCTTAGAGGTAAAGTGTATAAATTATTTCAAAATTTGTACAGTAATGCATTTATTATATGAATCTTACTAATTTGAAACCTTTTTTGCAGGTGAACTGGATGCCTTTCGGCCAGAACCCTAGTAATAGGGTACCCAGGACCCTCTACACGGGACTCATACAGTATCGTGAGATCGTGGAGGCGTACATGCCCCAGCGCTGTCTTCGCCAGCTTGGGTTCGTCCAAGTTGTCCCTCCTCCACCGGCATGGCCGAGTAAGGCGGTCCGATTTGCGTCGTCGAAGGAGTACGTCGTCCAATGGCCGGATAGCATGATTGCCACGTGGGAGCAGTTCCCGATGGTTGCCCGCTTATGGACTGCGGAGTTGCAGAGGCCGCCTACTGGGGTGCCTCCCATGTGTGACCAGCACTACATGGAATGGTACAAATGGTATTCGCACCCGAGGTTGACTAGAGACCTCGACCATGGCGACGACGCCGGTGATCATGATATGCCACCGCCAACTGCCGTAGATGCGGTATGTCTAACAAAAAATTATTGTTGCGTTTTTTTTAAAGTTTTATATATCGTTATTCAATTTCATGTTTTATTTTTTCTTCTGTGTAGTGGATGGAAAAGATAATGCAAGGCGTACAAAAACTCTCCCTGGAGAAGGACAACATGAGTGCAGCAGGGAGAGCTGCTGTTGATGAGTTGGAACAAATCCTTGCGCATTGGGAGTCGGCGGCAAAGAGGGATTACTGATGTTATTGGCATTTTGTTTGTTGAACATTTTTTACATTATCAAATTAGTTTGTGAAATAGGACATTATCTTTGTAGTTTGCAGAATTTAAAGAACGCGTTTTAGTTTTTAACATTTAAAATTATCGTTTTAGTTTCTAACATTTGCAATTATCGTTTTAGTTTTTAACATTTAAAATTAACGTTTAAGTCATGATAATTTGAAATTATTGTTTTAGTTTCTAACATTTGAAATTATCGTTTTAGTTTCTAACATTTGAAATTATCGTTTTAGTTTTTAACATATGAAATTATCGTTTTAGTTTTAACATTTGAAATTATCGTTTTAGTTTTTAACATTTGAAATTATCGTTGATGTTTATAACATTGGAAATTATCGTTTTAGTTTTTAACATTTGAAATTATCGTTGATGTTTATAACATTTGAAATTATCGTTTTAGTTTCTAACATTTGAAATTATCGTTTTAGTTTCTAACATTTGAAATTATCGTTTTAGGTTCTAACATTTGAATTAATCGTTTTATTTTTTAACATTTGAAAGTATGCATGTAAGATATAAATGTAATCAACAGTACAATACGAGCATAATAAGCAACGCAAAAATAAGGTTACATAGAAATAGTGTACAAAAGAAAAACTAAAAAGCTGCTAGGGTGTTCCATTGATGGATCCGGTCATGATACAGCGCATCCCAACCCTCTACGCTTGCTGTGCGAATGTCGTACCACCTAGGTATGATCGGTGGGACAGGAAAATCGGATGACAGGTCCAGCCGGATGAAATGTTTGTATGACGACTCAAGAAATGCAATAGTTAACTCTCTGACCGGTGTAGTGACGGTCTCACGCGATGACCAAGGGAGAATCGTTGTACAAGGATAATAAGCTCGACTATGCAATCCCAGCCCGAAATGCATTACTGCGCACTTGTAAATGTTTGCAACGGTAAAGAGATCTAGTGGCTTGTCGAAATAGTGATTTAGACCGCAAGGTCCTCCTCCCCACTGGATACGCCGCAGAGCACTATCCAAGCCGTCCTGGTACACATGACGATAAACATCTCGGTTAGAGGCAATTTCACTGTACATCAACTGACGCACTAAACCGTAGTTGTCTTCGCCCATCTGAAACACATAAGTCATGACCCGGAATCCGCAGTTACCATCTCCAACTACATCATTCCAGCCGTCCAAGTATGACATGATGATGTTAGGTATTCTATCCTTGTATGGAAACTGGTCAATATCAAATCTTCCTGTTGAACATAGCATTAAACACAGTGAACAAGTCAGTAAACTCAAAACCATTATAAAATGTAAATTAAAGTAAGCTATTGTACCAGTGCCGGGCATATTCACAGATGAAGAAGACTGGCTACGACTGGATGACGATGTACGACCACGACCACGAATGTACTCAAACGCACTCCTGTTCCGCCGTTGACGACCTCTAGGTCGCTCGACCCCTTCAGGTTCCTCGTGATCTAAGCAGGACGTGTTGAACATGTCATGCAGTACGTGAGTAGCATCACGAATAATGGAAGAATGACTGGAGGATACTCGGTCGTACATTGAACGAAACTGCTCCAACTCCTCATGTTCGCGGTCGACCGTCTGCGTATCTGCATGCTCACCAATAACGAGCATCCGCCAGAATGGATGAACCTCATCAACGTGTAACGACGTCCTATCTTGGGTAATTACGCGGTGAATGGTGCATACGCAAGGTAATCCATGAGTAATTGATATAGCACATCCACACCGAACATCAACTTCATCCGCCAACTCCCTCATCCTGTTATGCTCGGCCAAAATCAACCCCAAGCAGTAGTGTGACACATGCCCATGTAGAATCTTAAATATGAAATGGCTATACATCGTACCATGTCGCCGCCTAGAGTCCTCCAGAGAGTTCCTGATGCCGTTCTTCTAAGTTTCAATTGCCTTGTTTATTCTCTCGAACAGTGTATCCAAAGCAGCGATGGAAGAATCAGTCCAGTCCTTCTAGCTCTATAAGCACTCTCAACTCTGCATGTAGTAGTGTTTCCAAAATGAAGTACTTGGTTTGTCC